TAGTTTCAAGCATCGCTGTCTTGCTATAATATCGGCCATAAATTTCCAACAGTGCCAACATCTTTGAAGCTTTAATTCTGTACTTTTCCTACAAGAATGCTACTGCTGCCCCTGTCCATGGCTCAAGGTGACTTGGGGGACAAACAGGGCCATGCCCTTAGGGGTGTCTGCATGCTTACAGACTGACATGGTATAAAAGTGGTCTTCAGATGCCTGCCTATTGCGGCTAATGAGTTGTGCACGTGATGTTAACACAGGCTAATCTCTGAAGTGCAGAATTCATAAAGGTAAGTCACTTAGAACAGTTTGTCATTGGGAATGTCTGGAGCTATGACTTTGGGGGCCTCAGCCCTGCCATAGCTGCTCAGGGTTGTTTACGGAAGCGTATTTTGGAAACACAAAGTGCTCCGTCACTGGAGGAACGAAGGCGTGTTGAAAGGGGCATTCAGGGCAGAGGGGCCGTGATCTCCGGCGGCCGTGGAACTCTGTTTGCTTACAGCTAGCTTATTTCCAATGGCATGTGCCCACTGCAACTCTTGCACCATCTTTCCAGGGTGTAAATTCGCCTGCCTTTTCCAGGCCAGCAGCAGCTCCAGCCGCCAAACATCTCTGTGGTTCTATGTGACTCCAACGGTTGATAGAAGATCCCACAGATGCTAAAATGAGATCCAGCATCAGGCAGTTGGAGTAGAACTGGTTTCTGAAGGGACTAAAGAGAAACAACGGGCGAGAAATGTCCCGACCTCATGGTGGGCTAATGTCAGGAAAGGACCACGCCTTGGAGGTGTCTTTGGGTCAGGTGGCAGCTTTCCTGAGAAGGAGTATCTTGTGAATACGGGTCCTTATGTAGTGCTTCCTTTCGACCTCCTCCTGTGATCAGATCATGAGCCTGGAGACTACGGCCTGCTGTTCGTATTTCCCATTCAAAGGGGAAACCTCTTTTTCTGGCTTTAATTCTCTGTGGCCCTCCAGTCTCCTGGAGCTCAAAGTAATTTACGATATTTCCTGGTCCATTACATTAGAGTCTCCGTGATTTAATAATGAAGTAGGGAAACATAAAGCAAATTAAGAAGGCACTTAAATCCTGGGCTGAGAGCATCTGTCCTTGAATCTACCCAGTTCCTTCCTTCCCTTTTTATATGTCTCCTCTGAATACACGCCATACCTGCACATACAGAAACAGTAAATCTTTGCAAAGGCTAGCAGGAAAGACAGGAACGATACAGAATAACGAAGAAAAATTAAAGAAGATACAGACATTAAGGTGAAAACTCAAGGATAAATGAGGAAGACTGAAATATTATATCCCCAGAAGAAGGAAACCTAACTCTCATCCTTGAAAGAAGTCGGTGTGATACCAGTCTACTGTTTAAGGTAATTGGTTTTAAGTATAGCTGGCTGACCTCCCATTTTAGTATGCATTGATTGTATTCAATATATGGTTATATCATTTTTCTTGAAAGAGCATCACGTGAATTGAAAAGTGATACACATATCTCAGTGTGATTGTTCATGGCAATGCTGCTGTTTGAAGGTAAAAGTAACATTTTCAATGCTTTCAGTTTTATATCCCACATATCAGTGAAATCATGTGGTTCTTGACTTTTTCTGTGTGACTTATTAGCATAATAGGGGGGTGGTAGATGGGGATAACGAGGTCAAATGTATGGTGATGGAAGGAGAACTGACTCTGGGTGGTGGACACACACCGTGATATATAGATGACGGATTACAGAATTGTACACCTGAAACCTATGTAACTTTACTAACCATTGTCACCCCAAGGAACTTTAATTAAAAAAAAATCAACACTACTAAAAAGTCATTGTGAAAGGAGAGAGTGGTGTTACTGTTAGTAACATTATTAAGAAGGATCCTCAAGCAATTCCTGGAACTAAATACTTACAACGGTGGAGAAGCAGAAAATATCCTCATCTTATTTTTGTAAATTATCTGAGCCCATATTGCTAAAATTCATTTATTTGTCTCCTAGCTATACCACATCAACACATTTATAAAAATTAGAGCAATTGATTTTTTTCTTTATGATCCAGCTATCCAAATCAATGATACACTGTATTGCAATTGTTTCACAACATAATTATATCTAATTTAATGTCCTTTGAAACGTCACTAGTCCAAGCATTGTGAAGGCAATTTAAGCATAAATTTAACAATCTGTAACATAGAAGGAAAAAAAAAACCAAAAAACAAAACCAACGTTTATCATGATGAAAGCATCTTGATATAGTTGGGATTTAACAAAATGGTGACAGGATAGGAGAGATTATGAGCTTACTGTTACATAAAGTTTGATTTTATAAGGTTTATCATCATGAAATTAGTAAAGATCCATCAATTAAGAAGAAAACTCCTGGGGGAGGGCTGAGCAGAAAATCAGCTCTCATACTTCTGTTAATATTTGTCTTTACATTTTCAAGTCGATAGCTCGTTATTTGATACTCAGCATTTTCTATATTTCTATTAAGTTTATGAATGGGGTCTGAGGATCAGCAGTTAGGGGAATTAGCTATAGATTAGGCTGAACTTCTCCTAGAGAAGAATCAAGGATGGAATTACAAAGTTTTTAGGACTGTATACAGTCATAAAATATAAAATAACAACAAAATAAATGTTATAAACTAAAGGACCTTTTTTTTCTCTTAATGAAATTTCAAAAGGGGTTGCAATGGTAAGAAACGACTGAAATTTGGATTTAAGTGTGAATTTGACAAAGAATGGCTATAAGGGAGGTGAAAGGGTAAACTGCATAACAGTGTGAAATGAGCACAATTTTGGAATCAGGTATGGAGTGGTGTGTTGGTAAGGAGCTCTCTGGGGGAGAAAATAAAAATAAAATAAAAACAGTTTGTGGTGTTTCCTGCCTTCGTGGTGTCACCACCCCTGTCACGGTGCTATCAAGCCGGCAGCTTGTTGCAGAACTGTGGAGCACGGCACAGAAAAACAAGCCAGCCCCACCGAGCACTGCGTGTGCGAGAGAGAAGGGTGACACCTGTGCTGGGAACGCCAGCAGGGGAAATCGGACAATTCCGGTGATGAGTTAGGGGCCATACTGGTAGCCATGTTGAAGTTTGCACTTCAGCCGTGATGAGTCGCTGAGGTGGTCTGGCTGAGAGAGGAGAGGTTACAGTGACGATGTGTGTACTGGGGGGACAGTGAGGAGGGGGGGACAGTGAGGAGGGAGTAGAATGTAGGATGGCAGCTGCAGCTCTTCACATGGAGCTCACTTAACCAACTTGAAGTAGGTCTGGGCAACAAGTAAAAAATAAAACAAAACAAAAAAAATAACTAGAATAGGACAGTGGGACTAGAGCTAAGTGACAAATAGTTTGATAGTAAAAACTTGTCATACAGGGAATAATAGAGAGAACAAAGCCACAGTAACTCCAGTGCTTATCCAGAGTTAATGGGAATATTACAGAAATGATGGGAGAAATAAAAAGAAAGGGCACATTTTGGATACCCGGGTGGCAGTGACTTACAACAGAGTCAATTAGGTGAGGGGACTCTATGAAAAGACAAGGGACATGGGACCAACATCCAGATTTTGAGGACACCACATTTTGACAGCAGAAAGATGGAAAAGAATTAGTAGCAGTAAGGAAAAAAAAAAAAAGAAGCGAGACATAGCAGACCTCAGCGACGTGCAGAGGGGGTGAGCGCTTCAGGAGCTGCTGGCGTTTGAATTGGATAATATTTGTAACAGGGATTTCCCTCGGTGACAAGGACAGTTTGAGCATGGTATGTCTGACTTCTGGAATACCTTGAGCGAGTCACATTTCCTAGCTAACCCTCTGATTCCTTGACTGGAAAATGAACTTTTCATAAAATACCTACTTGTGAAGATGAAATGTGAAAAGGCAATGTCTGGCCCAGGACAAGAGACTGATGCCTACTAGCTAGCCACAGTAGTAGTAAGAGGTCCTTACTAAGACGATTAACATGAGGGAGAGCTCATGAGACAACACTTAACAACAACAACAACAAAATGAAAAACATAGGAAAGTACTCATTAAATAGCACAGACTAAAATTAAACAAAACAAAGCAAAACATACTGATGAAAATAATACGATTTCATATGATGACTTAAGCTAAGGCTGTGAATTTGCCTGGTTATGAACATGGATTAAAAGTCAGACATGGATTTGAGCTTTAATTCCTTTTATGCTACCTCTGGAACCTTTTAAAACTTAAAATTGTGTTTCATTATCTGTAAATGAGTGTCCATAATTTACTATTTCAGTGGGTTATTGTGAGAATTAAATGATATAATCCAAGTAAAGTGCTTAGCTCCTTTGTGGCATTATATTAAGACCTCAATAAACGTTAACGATGCTTTTATTTTGCAACCACTAAGATGAGTTTTTCTTAGTAACGTGAAAAACTCGGAATCAAAGTGTGCTTCTTCCTAAAGTTATTGGATCAGTAAAATAACATTACAGGAAAGGCTAAAAATCACAGGGTTTCAAGAAAAGTAATTCTAACCTGGTGCCAAACCCAGATGATGAGAACTTGGAAGACTACAATCCTTTATGGTCTCCTTATTTCAAAAGCCTCAGAGTGTCGAAAAGAGTCCTTAAAAGGTGTGATTTAATTATCAAGGGGTGTTTGCCATTTTTAATGAGAAAAAGATTAAAAAAGCACCATCAAACCAAGACAACATAAGGTGTGTATTAAATCTTAGCGTGATGGGACAGGAGGTGACAAAGCTCTGCAGAAGTCCACAGTGTGAGAAATAGAATGAAGACAAATTTGGGTAACTCAGGGGCATATCTAAAGTTGTAACTGACTTTACAGGGTCCAGCCCTGGCTTCCTGGCTAACACAGAATGTTACTTTCGGGAGCAGAATGAGCTGACACGGGAAGACCCCACAGGTGTGTTCTCTGTCATTAGGTGGAGACTTCCAGCATCAGCTCCAAAGCCGGTGACCGAGCTCAGGTATCGTTTCACACCCAGTCCCCTGGTGTGGTACCTACCTCGGCAGAGCGGGGCCGGGAAGTCCCAGGACGCGCCATTCCCGGGGCTGACAATGCAGGTCAGGACCGCGTGCCCTTCCAATATGTAGCCAGAGAGGCAGCTGTACCGGACTTTGTCTCCTATGTTGAATCTTGTCCCATGGAGGACTCCTTTCAATATTTCCCCAGGGTTTCCACATGTGTGGCTAGGTAAGACTGTGGGAACAGAAAAGAAAGAAAGTTAAAAACAAGATTTTCTATGAAGGTCATTTTATATCACAAAACATGCCCTGCTTTTGAACTCTTAAGATTAGCAAACCTAGCACCAAAATATTTCCATTTTCCCTAACAATGAAGCAAAGAAATATATTCATATTTTACATCTGCTATTTAGTACTTTTGTCAAGATTATTTTAAATTAAGGCATTTGGTTAAGATGGAAAAACACAGTTCTGCTGAGAGTCAGAGTGCTAACTGCAGCCTAGATTATTTTTTCTAATTATGAGATTCTACAGGGCCGTATAGTTAGCAATAAGATCATACAGTAGGGTATCAATTGCGTGAAAAAGTGATATCAGAAATATAGCATAAATGAATATTCATGCCACATTTATCCTTATTCCTCCAGGACCAAAACACTGCCTAAAACACGTCACTAATCAACGTTTAATGGATAAACAACTGACATAAATTAAAGACCTCATTCACTAGTCCATCAGACTTTTAAAAAATTGTCCCACTATTTTATCCCAAGCCAGCTGTATGGCTGTATGCATTTAGAGCCTGCTTCACAGCAAAGTTCTGAAGACCAGTTTTAATAACGCACGTACTGTCCCCACTTGTGTCTCCGTAAGGTGGCCCTTGCTCTGTGTTGTTGACCTTCTCACATTCTTTTGCTGATAGGATTCTCTGCTTAATTCAACTACCTTGAAACCTAATCGACACAATGTCATTCCATATGCATAAAACATAATTTTGTACTTAATTAATACATCATTAAGTTGAATGGTTCAAGTTGGTGAGTGTTAGCTACTGTCTTCATCTTCCTGGTTTAAATTTAGCATGTCATCAGTAAGTTAGCTGCTATTGTGTAGTATTCAAATAAATTAAGGATTTAACTGTTTAAAAAAGGAATGATTTCCAAATAATAAAGTATTTCTAAATGAACAAAATTAAATTATTTTAGGCGTGTCTCCATTTTATTTTTTTTGCATGGGAATGGGGTATAATTTGATATATACGTATAATATAGTGCAGTTTTTCTGTTTTCTTTCTTTGTTCACAAACTGAGAAATTGATAGAATTTTCCCAGTGAATGGGAGGAAATCTCAGTGATTTGTAAAATTATTTTATGAGGACAATAAATATGTACAAACTAGGCTATGTAGAAACACTGAGAAAACAAACACAACCACTGAGATATTTAATTGGCATGTTTGTGAAGTCATAGTCAAAGTGTGTTCAGTTCTAGCTTTCACAACATCGTTTCTGAAAACAGTCTGCAAAAACCGAACGGTTTGACAGCACAATAGACAACAGGCTGCGTCTACATTCATCTTCGCTTCTTTTATAGAAAGGAAGCTCTGCTCAATGCCACACTCACTATTTCTAAGACAATACATCTAATTTTTTTTTAAAGTCGTTTTTAACATTTTTAAGTGTTTTGGCATTTACCTGTCTGTGATTTCTAAGGTAGAAAAAACCTTTCATCGCTATCTCGGGGAACACTTGAATTGAGGACTCAGCCTGTGCTGGGGACCCTATAACCTGAGAAGCGAGGTGGCTGCACTTCTATCATGAACACAGAGAGGGAGAAGGATGGGGTATGTGGACACGAACGCCTTCGGTGTTTTCTTGCCTCAACCAAGAATATTTAGACTTACCAAATCCTTCCCCCTTTTAAGGGCCTTTATTATTTTCATTAACTGTTAGTACTACTTCTTATTAGAAGCTACACATCACCATAGAACATATCCAGATAAGTGTCCCCCAAAGACAAGAGTTATCAGCATCAACCGATCAGATATCTTAACACGTGAAACTGATAACCACAAGTGATCACTTCCATAGCTGGAAAAACAGATGAGCTGTTCTGAAAAACGAACGTAGTCAGCACAACTTTCCTACCCATTTTCCTATTGAAAACAGAAAGAAATCCCTTTTTAAAATGATCTTTAGCACAGACTGATATACAGAGAGATCGTCACAAGAAAACTACAGTAAAATATGAATTAGGCCACAAGCTACCGGCGCTAGGTGGGCAAAGTTCACACTATGTTATCCACAGCCTATTTAATACGTTTAAACAGAAGTGAAGGAGAAACAAGGTGGAAAGCTTGACTGCGCGGACATTGCCAGGGAGTGTGGGGTTGTTCCCACTTTGGAAAATCTGAGGGGAAAAAAATCATTCCTGAAAAAAGGGTCCCCCCAAGTAGGCTTCTTGGACAGAACACATCGTGTCTTAAAACTTGAGCAGGGTTAAATGTAACATTTGGAAACACAGACAAATGATGAAATTCACAAAGAAAAGTCATGTCTGCCAGTCTATATGCTAGAGCTAGAAACACTATCTTTAACAGGAAATAATGTAGATGTTAAAAATAGTGCTTGCCAAAGAAAAGCATTTCCATTAAGCGGGGGTGAACCTGTACCTACAATTTACATCCTGCCTCAAACTGTGGGTGATGTCGTAGAGAACCCTTCCTCAGGGGCACCTGTGGTCTGTGTGTGTGACAGAAATGGCCACAGGTGACTCCCTCACCCATCAAAGCCTGTGTAGAAATGAGAGCCGCTATTTCCGGGGCCACCTCAGCCTCTCCTTCCGTAAACCATTCCCCTGGCCTCGAGACCAACATAACAGTCTCCTTATTTGCTCTTATCTACAGATTTCTGCCTTAATATCTTGACAGTTATATTAGAATTTGGGAAACACCTAGCCAACACTTATTCTTTGAACAGCCCTATTTTCAATTGATGATGGAATAGAATGGAGAGAACTGGATTTAAGTCTCTTATTTTACCCTCATTAGCTCCATTTAGTTACTAAAAACATGTCCTTGTCAGTATTTATTCCCAGAAGTGTGAGGACCAAATGAGACCAAGCAGGTCTCCAAATCCCCACGCTGTGTAACTATGTCATCGGGCTGCCCTGCGGCCAATGGCCTCTAGTTCGGACCTGGAACTACTCAAGGCAGATGCCATCTTTCTCATCTCCGCCTACACAGTGTCTAGACTAAGTCTAGCCCTCAGCAGGGTCTTGCTAAATATATATTTGCTCACTTAAATGAAAAATACAAATATTAATGTAAAATATAGCAAGTATTTTCCTCGATGTATGTACAATAACTAAGATTTACATAGTTTACACCATGGTGGGAATAAGGGAAAACAAGTTTTTCAGAAACCAGTTGTACAAAATAACATTTTGGAAATAACAAACTATAATTTTAAGTAACGAAGTATAATTTTAAGTCACGTTTTTCCCCACATTTGGCTAAAAATATAAATAGACCTCAGAGACATAAACTTAATTTAAGAATTTTTAAAGCAAAATAAATTAGGAAATGGGAAAAGTGATTAAAAACTAACATAAAGTTTAAAGTCACTGGTTGGATATAGAAAGATAAATTTATTATTTAGGGTATGAACATTTTTATGGTTAACCAATTTAATTTTAGAAAAAGATATTAAAATTTTAAATGTGAGTGATGTCAATAAGCACATAGAAATAATTGAGAAGAATTAAAATACTTCCAGTTGCAAACAACAACAACAATGTAATACTATTATAAAAGCATTAGCAATTTCATTAAAAAAATTATCAAAATACCCTAAAATGGGAAAAATAGATGAAAATGATTATAGGTCTACATAAAGATTTAAGTCTTACACGTAAATATTAGCAACATATGAGGATCCAGTGGCTGGGAAAAAGTAATTTAAAATAAATAAATTCAACCCAATTGTTATTTCTGCCAATTTCATTTTCACTAATTTTAACCCAATCCCCTGATGATAGCGAATGTCCCTTTGTGTCTCCCACAGTAATGAGTACACATTAAGTATTTAGTAAATGCTCATTGCAGTGATGCAAGCTCTACTTTTAATTCCCTCTAATCCCTCCTTGAAGTAATTTGCCCTCTTTCCCATAGGTGCTTCAAGGAAGGCATTCTCCTTTGAGATCGGGCAGCTCTGCACCAGGGCAGATATTTGGTAAAGTGAAAGTGTTTCTTGAAAGGCGCTCTGGGCATGGTTCCCTCCCCTCATGGCAGGTTTCCATCAGGCCTCACGCGGTCAGCTCAGTGCACGAGTGGCCACCGTTCCCCCTGCCTCAGGGAAGGTCCCTCCATGACACTTTCATTTACAAGAGCACACGGTCACAAGTCGGTGACTGAAGGAGGCCAGCTCCTCCAGCCTTCCGCCCAATTCTTCAGATGGTGACATGGATGTCATATCAGGTCCTTCTCCAGGAGAAGGGTGAAAACATGATACTAAAATAACAAGCAGCATTAATATTCTTTACTGCTCCACAGGAGCGACGGCGGGCGGACAGAGGCTGGGATTCCAACAGAGGAGGAGGACGGCGCTTCTCAGTGTGTGTGTGTGTGTGTGTGTGTGTGTGTGTGTGTGTGTGTGTGTGTGTGAGATCAGTGAAGCTTCTTTCCACGCCTCCTTCGGGAAAGTGGGTCCCCGAAGGTGCCTGGCACACATTTGCTTACACGTTGCTTCTCGATGTCTCCCTGCAGCTCAAGGAAATGGAACTTCCAATATCCCCATGCCATCAGGCACTGGGACATGAACCAACAGCACAAGGCATGAGTGTCCACGGGGATTTATTTGCCCTGCACTCCTTCCCGCGACCTTTGGGGAGAATTAGAAAAATCTGATTATGCAATTTTCAGGAACACTGTACAAATCAGATTTTCAAATGTTGAAACCTGACATTTACTCTCTGTCCTGACTCTGAATCGTGGCCAGTTGGCGAAACAAGCTGCTGAGACAGCAGTTACGTGTCAAAGGCAATGAGGGTTTCTTTGTAGGCAGCAGTTACTCAGCGCCTTCCATGTCCAGGGTCTGTTCTCCAGGTGGAGACACAGTGAAGGGGAAGGTTGTATGGACGCCAGTGCTTTCCCAAGGAACAGGGCTGCATGAGAACAGCTCAACGGGGAAGCACGTCTTAAGGATACTTAAAGGCAGAAAGCAACAAGGTTTGGCCA